AGGGAGCTCGCTCTTAACAGGGAGCTCGGGCTCCTAGTAGGGGGCTCGGACTTAGGGAGCTCGGGTTCTTACTTAGGGAGCTCGGACCCTTAACAGGGAGCTCGCTCTTAACAGGGAGCTCGGACTCAGTACAGTGGTCTGGAGTTCGGGCTCGGTAGTGAGCTTGGACTTGTTTCCGATGTTCGCTTCGGGCGCTCTACTGTCCCGAGCTGCTTGTCTTTACCACGTGTCGGGCGATCGCGAGGTCGGGCCAAATTTCCCTTCATCACCATCCATCCCGCTTCGGCAAAGATTGGATAAGTGTTACCCGCTTACGCATAGTCCACGTCCAAGCGTGAAACCACCTTCAAAACCAGATAGGCCGGAGATCTCAGACGCGTTTAATGAGCCTCACCTCTAAGCTCACAAAGTACGTGCGGTTTGGATCTCTAAGCTCTCTAGCTCTCTTACTTTCTCATAAACAATTACCAGCTCGTTGACTTAATCATCGGAGTGCCCACCCCGGGTCAAGCAACCTGAACACTTTGACCTGTTATTTTTGCAGCTCGATTAGGCGATCTCACTAGCCCGATAACTAAGCTATCTGCCAACAGAAAGCATTAGATTGTGCATCATCAATTGGTGCCGTCAATGGGAACACTACACAAAAGTCGTATTCTCACACTCCCTTTCTAACTACAAGCTCAATGGCATCTTCCAACAACAACGTATGTGTTGACGAAGCAGTCAAAGGGGGGCAAGACTAGCACACTATGCATACTGACGTCCCCTCTGTTACTATCGAGTAGTTCACTGCGCCCCTAACCTTACCGGGCGTCCATGTCATGCAAAACCCTAACTGCCCTCCGCCCATTGTGAATGTACCTCTTCCATCGGTTGAGCCCTCTGTGGTTCCTGTTGGAATTGATGGTCACCAGTTCAACAAGCTTGTGTAGTTTGTCTGTGGGATTGACTTGCAAATGAGAACGTGGGTAAGTCATTTTGCCGCCTTAGCAGGGACGAAACAACAGCATCACCAACAACATCTGGCCACGAGGAAGAATGCTAACTAGAACTAGCAACCTAGCGACCAGAATAGGAATCAGAACCAGAACCAAGTATTGGACCCACCTCGCTGTCATGATGACCAGAATCAGGTTCCTGCTATGGAATCAACCCAAGCTGTGGCGTTTGAGGCTACCAGCTCTACTGAAGGGTCTCGAAGAAGGCATTGCAGACATGGATGCCGCAATACAGGAAGGAGCCGCCTCGCTACGAATGGCAACAAGGAGGCGGAGAAGAAAGAGGAAGAAAAGAAGGAGGTGAGCTAAGTTGGCACCTCATCTACATAGTCGGTGACCTGAACCTCACCACTAGCCATGGAAATCCTCATGGCCCCACGACCTAAGGATTTCAAGGCCCCCAGCCTCGTGTCCTATGATGGAACCACCGACCTAGTCGACCATCTTGATAGCTTCCATGCCTTGATGCAGCTACACGGGACCAACAACGCAAGCCTCTGCATGGCCTTCCTGACCACTTCCAGGGCACAACTCGGATGTGGTACTTGGGCTGACTGCAGGCTCCACTAAGAGTTGGAATCAGTTTGCCAACCTCTTCACCACACACTTTGTGACGAGCAAGCGGTGCCCGAAGTCGGCAACTTGTTTACTACACGTGGTCCAGTGAGCCAACAAGAAGCTCCAAGATTACATCAAGCGGTTCAAACTGGAGTGGTTACAGATCTCTAACCTCGACCCGACCGTCCAACTCATCGCGGCAGTTAATGGCGTTCGACACACTGACTAGCGTTGGGAGGTCGAGTTTCTCAACTTGAAGTAACGCAGTCGAGTTGAACCCTCCAACCTCCATGTGGCTGCGCTCAAAGGCAAAGGAAAGTAAACTGCCAGCGTCGACTTGGTGCCACCTCTGGAGAATAGCAACGAGAGAGCTCACCCCATGGAGGATGCCTTCGTAGTGCCAGTCTCTGATACTGACTCCATGAAGGTAGTGAAGATTGGAGCCCGCCTCTACGTTTTGAACTACTAAGTTTTTAATTAATAATTTAGATGTTTTTGCTTGATTAGTAGCAGGAATGCTTGACATAGACTCCTCTGTCATAACTCATAGGCTGATTGTTGGCCCTTAATTCAAACCAGTCTGACAGAAAAAAAAAGAACCTCGCCTAGGAGTGGTGGAGGGTAGTGGATGAGGAGGTAGGGAAGCTCTTCACAGCAGGCTTCGTTAGAGAGGTCCAATATCCGACTTGGATTGCAAATCCAATGCTCGTGAAGAAGGCTAACGACAAATAGCGCATGTGCGTTGACTACACCAACCTCAACAGAGGCTACCCAAAGGATAGCTTCCCACTCCCTAAGTTGGACCAATCGAACCAACCCAATCTCAAGCCATTGGTCGGACCATGATCGAGGATGAAACTCAAACCAAAACACATCGGGTTAAGATTACTCCCTCACTAGACTGATCACGTCGGACTCGGGAGTGGGGGCAACTAATGAAGGGTAATTTGGTCCTCTAATAATATCGTGACATGTAGCATTGCAGAACGACATAGTGACATCTCGGCACCACGAAAGCAGAACCCAAGAGCACTTCGAACTCTTCATAGCTGCATCAACGACCTCGACACCACTCCAGTAGGTTGAACTGCGAATAGCTAGGCGAGACCTCAGGTCGGCGTAATAGGCGACCTGCTCCCTTTGATCTGACCCAACTCTGGTTAGCGACCTGCCTAACGTGCCGAGTGACCTCCCCCTTTAGTGGGCTATTGCCTTTGAATTCCTCGGGGTCACGATGTGACGCCAGAAGAGCCGATTATAACCCAACCCGCTTCGGGTGAGATTGGATAAGCGTACCTCTAGGCGTAAAACCACCTCCGAACTAGATGAGTCAGAGATCCTAGACGCATTTTGTGAGGCTCACAATAGTTTACCTATATAAGGGCCTCACCTCCAACCTCACAAGGTACGCACGTTTTAGCTCTCTAACCACTACTCTCTTGCTTTCTTGCAAACAATTACTAGCTCGCCGACTTAAGTATCGAAATGCCCATCCCGGGCAAAGCAACCCAGACACTCTAATATATTTTTTTTGTAGCTCGACCAGACAACCTTACCAGCCCAACAACCGAGCTGTCTACTAGCCGAGAGCACCAGATTGTACATCATTAGAACCCAATACATACTTTGCCCCTTTCCAGTCCGTATAGACATCCATGGCCATGACCCCATCAATAGGGGTGTCAATTGGATTGGATTTTGTCTAATCCGATCTGGTCCCATATAAGTCCATTACAGATGGATCAAGTCCAATCCAATCCGATGAATACTTTCAACTCTGGACTATTTTGAACCAGTCCAATTCAATGTCTGGACAATTCAATCTATTCAAATTGACTTTAATTTAGATTGGTTCCAACCAAGACCTGGTCCCATTGACACCTGTAATTAATGGACCTGATATTGATATTGATTCAATCCAACCCAATTCAATATAAATCCATTACAGATGGATTAGTCTATTGGACCATTAAGTTTGGATTGATTCAATTCAATATGTTTTATTGGTCCGTCCGGATGGGGTATAACCCACAACCGGTCCGTTGACGCCCCTACACATCATAAGAAGCTAGCGAATGTACTGTGTGAAAATTTTCATTACTAAGACCATAAATAAGTCAAAACAACTTAAAAAGGACCATTTTTAACCCGGTGGAAGTTAGGATCTCCAGAAGAACATCGGCAGCAACGTATTGTGGTTTTCATTGTCGGATTAGCCAGAAAGATACCACATCCATGATCCATGTAAACCGTGGCCCATGGGATGGGAGGGACACTGGAATATAGTGAGGTAAAGAAATTCTCTGGAGACAAATTACCTGTGCGGTTGTGCCAGACTCGCATATAGGGAGGGAGGTTTTCTCGATTCACCTAATTGTGTTACTTGCCAACAACTCAATTCATATACTTCAACAAAATCCAACAAGCACTCGATACTCTGCTCTGTTTCTGGCTCTGAATTAGTCAGGGTGGCACTGCAGTGTAACACAAGAGTTTGTTGCTTCCATCTATTAAATGTACAACAACTAACATAATAGCATGGTGTGTGTTTGGCACTTTGGAGGACAGACTCACATGATCAAAGACCCACCATTTTCAAATACTAACCCATTTTGGAGGTGGAGTGGATCCACCAAGAAGGGTCTGAACTAACCGTCTGAACATGTCATGTGCTGAATGTAATTCCACTGGACGTTCAAAATTTCCTTCTCAATTGAACAATTTCAGTAAAGCATCCAGACTCGAGAAAAAATTAAGATATACATCATCTGTACAGCTCCATGTAAAATGGATCCTTTCCAGAGTGTTAACCATATTCAGGTTTTATGCAAAAAAATGAGCTCATTTACATTTTTCTCTCTACAACCTGAAAAGAAGGCTTCAGCTAACCATATTCAGGTTTTATTGCTTCCATTTCAAGAAGCAATAATAATCCTTTCAAGTAGCAGTCACACAAGACACAACACGAGTTAATATCTCTACACTTGACCTGAATGTCGACTGGACATACAAAGAAGAGATCATGTTGGAGAGTAGAATAAAATCAATCTTACATCTTCCCAGTGTATCAGAGGTTGGAGCTCCTTTTCTGTATTCTTAATCTATCTTTTGATCCTTATTGACAAGTCATTAATTTGCAAATCCCCTCGAACAAACAGGCAAACACAAAGAACAGAATCTGGAATAAAAGGTAAAGTACACACGAAAAGCTTGGGACCTGACGGGATGGACAGTAACTAGGGATATCTAAATTGGAGCTATATCTTCTACCCGAAAAAAATGGAGTTAAATCGAACTCCTTTAATGAATTTCTCCAACATTTGGGATGACTTACCCGTTTAGCTATATAAATCTAATCCATCAAGATCAGAATGGAAAAGAAAAAATAACTCAATTCTCTTGGTCCTTTGCGTAGTAAAGGAATGGTATAAAAGAAAAGCATGAAACCAAGGAGGCACACAATATTACTAATTATTTATTGGGTGTTTAGGAAGGAAAAACAAGTTTAAATCCAGTTTGGTGAACAAACCAAGAATCTAACTCTACACAGAGATATACATCAGCGATTAGGGTAAGTGGATAACAACATTTACCTTTTCCTAACCAAGACTAGGAAGAGCAATAAAACAGAGCAAAAATTGTAAATTGAAACACAAAATATGGTACATACAGATCAACAAAGGAATCACCCCAACACTATCCATGATGGTTGTCTCCATAACTCTTTCATCGTCTTATGTTCTGGCAAATACGCCCCATAGCTTACCCCGACTCAGGCTTTCGAGAAGTTTCACTGCTCCATCAATCTCCATCTCAACAAGTTTCTGCAGATAACCACAAGCCCCTACGGCAACCATCTGTTTCCGACACTTTCTAGACTGTACGATGGAAGCCAAGACAGAGATTGGATATTTCTTATCCAAATTCTGTATTAAAGGATCGAGAAGCTGAACTGTACTGGTGATCCCCCTCTCGTCCTTGCGGAAAACCCTTCTATTACCTGTATGGAGCAATAGAGACGACAAGGCCATTGCAGCCGCTTCTCTCTCTTCAACCGCCTTGGCATCCAACATCCTAACCAGAGGGGGAATGCATCCAGATTCTCCCATGTCTTTCCTTGCCTTGGTGTTATACCCAAGCACAAACACGGCTCTGGCAGCTGTGGTTCTCACAACGGAAACCCCGCAACTCAACACACCCACAAGCCGAGATATGAACCAGTTGGAAACAAGAACGTCGGCAATGGGCCTACAAGACGCCAAGTTCCTTAACAACCCAACTGCAACCTCAAGGCTCCGAGCCGTCTGAGCCGAGTCCCAGAAATTTTTCAGACACCCAATCCCACCTTCTCGAGCAACCAAGAGCTTTAAATTGTCATCCTCGGAAGCCAAATTACACAAACACCCAATCGAATTCTCTTGGGCAATTGCAGTTCCTGAGGTCGAAAGCGCAATAAGAACCGGCACCGCAGTCTCTTCGATAAAATTCTGCCTGATTTCGGCGAATGTAGCAAGATTTCTCAACACCCCAGCGGCGAAGGCCTGAGAACCAGGCGTTCCGGCCTGGCAAATTTCCAGAAGAGAAGAAATCCCGCCTCTAGACCCAATGGCTCTCGCATTCTCTTTGGAGAAACTGAGAGCTTGAAGGGTAATACAAGCCTTCTCCTTTGCAAACCCACTTCCCGATTCAAGAACCCGAATCAGATGATTCAGTAGTAGAACCCCTTCGGCAATCAAAACATGCTTGCTGGAATCCACAACCGAAATCCTCGAAATCGCCGCAACGGATTTCTCCTTGATCTCCAGGGAGCTCGAATCAAGTAACCGAACAAGAACTGGAACCGCACCCTGTGCGACGGCGATTAGGACGTTCTTATCATCCTCCTGGAGCAATCCAAGCAAGGAATCCATGGCAGCGTTTTTAGCCTCCGCGTTCCCGATCTGCAAACGAGTTATCAAGTTTCTGGCTTCGACTCGGACCACTTCACGCTTGGAAGTCGTCGTGGTGGCGCACCCAGGACCGGCGTTTGTGTCCTGAAGAACGCCGCTGCGAATCAAGAGCTCGCAATCCCTGGTGTGCTGGTCGAGCTTGGCAGCGACTGAGTCGAGATCGCTCTGGGTTCTGAGCTTGCCATCGGTCAAAGCGGAGATTCTGCACTTGTTAGCCAAGGCGAGAGTGTCGGTTAGGGTTTGGGAGACAGATTGGACAAGGTCAAGAGAGAGAGGGTTGGAATAGAAGTTGGGGAAGTCGGAGAGATCTTTAAGTTGAGTTGGGAGGTTTTCTAGCTTGTTTCTGATTATAGACCACTTGCCTCTGAAGATCTGAATATGGGGTATCTCCTGCATGAGAGAGGAGATTAGCTGGGTTGAGAGGTGGAGATGGTCGGTTTCGAGTAATTTCATGATGATTGTTGTTCACTTGATTCTGGGATAGACTAGCAAATTAGGGAATTTAGGGTTTGTAGTCTGACCTAGAGAGAGAGAGGGATCAGGGAAGGAATAGAAGGGCGGAGAGGAGGAAAGAGTGAGGAGAGACGAGACGATGAATAGCGGCACTGCCGGGCAGCGACAAGACAAGAATCAACAAAATAATAATAATGCAATTCTGGGGAATCGGAGTGAAGAAGAGGGAAGGGGGTCTTATTAGTTTTAGGCTTTTAGCTGAGTAGTGGTAGTACTACAACTACTCTAATTGAACAGTTGGATTCTTCTATGGGAAACTGGAGGATATAGGATAGGGCCAATCAAGGAACGCCACGTCATGATGAACCGTAGGACCCATGTATAAGAAGCAGACGTGGTGTATCATGATTGGATCATCATTTTAGAACTACTAGATTAGATGATGGGATGGCAACTGGCAACTTTTAGCCGTTTAGACTTTTTACTCGCTTCCTCGGTTCCTCCTGTTTTTCTACTTTTTCTTTTCATTTTCTTCACTACATTCTGATCTGGCTCAGCTGAATCAAACACGGATACTTATGGATTATTATTCATGGGAGATGTTCCCAGTACACGGATTGATGTATTTGTGAGGTCGATGTGAGTAGCAGATGCTGCAGATCCCAATTCGAGAGAGAGAGAGAGACCGAGAGGGGAGGTTTCCTCACCTTTTTTGCATCGGCTATGTCTTGATGGGACTTTTGCCTTTTCTCTAAAGCTTGAAGATTGATTTCATGGGATGATGGGATGCTATTTTTTTTTTCTATCTTTGAAAAAGTAAACGACTCATAATAACTTTTCTACGATGGGCAAGATAAAGGGCTGGGATTGACTGACGTGTTCAGTTACGTAACCCATAGTACACGCCTGGATAATTGCCCAATGTAAAGGTTGTAAAGCCCCCAAGGCCGGTCCAACCTTTTGCGGGATTCGATCGCAGGTCTCCCTACATCTCAGTCAGAGAACTTACCAACGATTCCAAGTCACCGCTGTCCGTTACAACCTGCCAAATCAGCAAATGCCATTAAATTCAAAAAAATAAAACTAATGGTATTATTAGTTAAGTAATTAAATTAGATACATTGAAGTATTATTTTTATCATATACTGAGTGAGCATTAATCATTTTTCATATATTCTTCACCTGTTCAATCTCTCTCTCCCCCTCAAACTTGATTAATTCATTGGGTTGGGAATTATTAATCGCCTATAACTCACATTAGGTATTATGATGGTAAGTGATAGCTACAAGGCCCATTTATATATAGATATATACAGTAGTGGCAATCCCCCTGCTATTATTATATGTGTTTGGTTACGGTAGGAAGCTGTTTATTACTTCATAGGTGCCAAATTAAACCTTTGTATTTATTAAAATCATTATCTCACTACAACAGTTGTGGCAACGTCTCAAATTCCCTTTTCGCACTTTAATAAATAATAATAATAATAATAATAATAATAATAATAATAATAATAATAATAATAATAATAATAATAATAATAATGTAAAAGGGGGTTGAAGAAGACCAAACAAAAGGCGAGAAAAAAAATAGAAAAAACGGTGTTAGTCGGGAGAGGATTAGAAAAAAAAAAAAAAAAGAAACATGCAAAAAGAAAAATGGCAAGGTGGAACCGCAATAGGCAATTAGAAATGAGACAACATAATTGCTGCCGCATATGATGTTTCGTTTCGCTTTTCCTTCTTTAAACTTCACTTCGGATTCGGAGTATATGGCGAGGCCTGCCGCCTTCGGGCTCGGGGAGGTGGATGTATGTTTTAAGTTTTAACTGCTTGCCAACTGCCAGCCCAAAATAATCCCCTTCCTTTTCCCTTCATTATTAGTTACTCACTGCACATTTGGATTACCAATAAGTAAAAAAAAAAAAGAGTTAAAGAGACGACGACCTCGATTCTTCCACCAGTCCCTTGATTTCTTGAATTGAGAGGAGGCACGAGGCAGGCAGCGGGGCTGGCGCCATGTTGGGTTGGTATTATCTATATTTTATTTTAAAAAATTATTAATTAAGAATGGAAATTGATAATGATTGATAAGCTGGGAGAGCTTCCAGTGAAAGCATTGAGCGGCCCAAACCTTGCAAAATAGAGGATGTGAAAGAGTCTAAATTGTGACATCAGGCAAGGAGGCTTTTACGATTAAGTTAGTGTCGAGCTGGATGGGTTGAAGGAAAGTTAGAAAGCAATGAGAGTTAGAATACCTTATCAGAGTATGTATTCTCTGAAGGCGCACCCCTCTATTATAGAGTTGGGGGATGATCAAAATGCTCTTAAGATTCTCAGAAGTAATGGATCTTGATGTATGGATTTTTAAGGGTTCATGGGAGCGATCTCCAGATGAACCGTTTGTCATTTCCGTCAGTTGCTGGACATGTTCCCGAGGATCTCAAAAACGTTAATTGCATGGAAAATGCATCCCCATGCTGATGTGGCAAGTCGGAGTCATTCTACTCAAACATCAATTTGTGCTTGGGTTGCCTGATATCTCGAGAGGCTCGAGGTGGAACTGATGTGTTGAGTGACTTTGATTTGACCATTGTAGACGATCTAGCGAGGTCACTTGAGGATACATAGACCCGTTCTAATGACAATGCTTTCGGAGGTTTCTCATGCAGGTCCTGTGGTATCCGAGGTGATGTGGCACCCGGCGATCGATGTGTTGATTTCACCCATCATAAATAATAATACAACAGCCTCATTCAACCAAAAATAGTAATGAGAATAAAAATGCTAACTTGGCCATACATGGTAAAGGAAATCCCAGCTGGAAAAAAGATGAGACCCCTCGTTGATTCATTCCTTTCGCTCCATCACATCATTATCATCCAAGAACCATTTGGGTAGAGTTGAGTTGAGACATTTATATCTTCAATATCTGGGGTGTTTGCAGTTTGCTAGGGCTTGCGAATTTTGGGTTCGGAATCTGAAATCTAGATACAGTAGTGTGCTTCAGAAAAACAAGTGTAATGACGTCGTCCTTTTTGGACCTTGGTAGTTCGTAGTTCGTACCAAAAGCCAAAGTCAGAACCAAGCTGTAGCTGTAGCTGTGGCATCAAGGTCAATTTTAGATATGTAGTGTGAAAAGCCAAGGTGTAGAAGACGTATCAAACAAGTTCCGTGTCCAAATTTCACTGTTTCTGTTTCACCACAATAAAAAATAAAAAATAAATGAAAGGGAAAAACAAAACGTAATTCAACGTTCAATTGGATTCCTGGACTGAAGTCTGAAGTAGTCTGAAGCCAGAGTGAGCCAGGTCGTCGGTTACTTGTTCGAGTAAATAGAATGAAATAAACAAAAACGCGCCTTTCATGGTTGTTCATAAACTGTAAACAATGAGTCAAATATCAAAATGAAAGGAAACCTTTGTGACTTATAAACGATAAAAATTCATACACAAATAGGTACTTGGATATCAACCTTTCATTCGTTGTTAGTATGTTTTCATATAATAATTAGTTGACTTCGCCTACTCTTGGATATGGGCCCATGGGCCATGGGGAGTGCCAAGTGCCAATAATTATTAACACTATCATTTATATTTTAAATTAATTAATACATGTCCGCCCAAACTCCAAAGACATCCGATAAAGAGAGAGAGATTGAATGATTGTCTCCGTGTGGGGCCCAGCTTCCAACTTCTAAGTTCTTTAATTTCCTTACTAACTAAACAGTTATCGCTGACTGGGTCGGACAACAATGTTAGTTATTGCCTCATTGTTATTTGAAGAGAATAGAAAGTGAAGAGATTCGATCAAAACACTCTTTAATTAGTTATCACAAAAGATGAAGAGGGTGTTAATATTGCCATTGCTGCTTTGGGTTTGGAATATTAAATAACCACACCAGTATGTATGTTGCTTGCTTACCTGTTCATAAACGGCCGGGCAAAATTCGTTTAAAACGAATTAAACATGAATAACGATAACAGAAGTATGTTGCTTTGGTGCTAATTATGCTTCAATTCGAAGCAACGCGGATTTAACTTTTTGAGTGTCTTTAATTTCCTTCCTGGAAACTATTAGGAAGCTTTCATTTAACTTACCTGTTTCTCTCTAGCTGTGTTTTGGTTTGAAGGGATAGGTAGAGAAACCTCTTATTTTCTATCAAAACAAGCACAATGTTAGAAGTAGGGGTGTCAGTTAGACTGGATTTGGTCTAATTGGAGTTCATTACAAATGGATCTGGTCCAATCCAGTCTGATGATTATTTTGGACCAGTCCAATTTAATGTTTGGACCGTCCTGTTCGAATTCGTTTTTATTTAAGTTGGTTCCAATTCAAACCTGGTCCATTGACACCTGTATTCTCTTTTTTTTATCAGTTTTTTTTTTTTTTAAACCTGGTTAAGTGGGGTTAGTTTAAGGCCTGTCCACCCCCTCAACCTGGATAAATGTGAGAGTTTAAATGTAAAATGGTTGACTTGACATGTTCCAATAATCTTAGAGCTTTTTGCTTATTCATCTGTTGTAAGCAGAGTAGCAAAAAAGGTTAACAGTTCGGGTCCATGAAATACATACGAGTATGTGTTTGTTGTCAGACCTAAATTTCATCTGAGACTGAGCTGAGCTGCTAAAATCAGAAAAGGGTAAAAAGCCCAAAAAGGCCGCTCAAGTTATTATACAGTGAAACTGATTAATCTTATTTATCACAGGAGCAGCCTTTTAACTGCTAACTCACTATAATTAACCAGCTGCCTGTAAACGTAACGTAAAGTAATAATCAAAGCAAGCAAAAAAGAAAAAACACACAGGGCACTCACAGATGAAGGTTTCAGTAGGTCAACCTTAATTAGCCATGTTATCCAACCAAGGCCTAGTTCCTTCATTAGCTGGTTGTTCACGCATTCACATCTCTCGACTCCACGTCACGAAGCACGAAACAACAGAGTTCGCATCACCGCCCCACCACGCTTCGCCCCACACGATGTGCGACTGACACGTGTCCCATCGCACGCGGTGGGGCGTTCCCGCGTGCGACGCTAACGTACGGATGTTAGCCCCGCCAGTTGGCTCCAAAACCAACTCAAAAGTGCTGGAACGCGCTCCCTGAATCTCTTTTCCCATATTCGCGCCCCTTTTGAAGCTTAAATCGGAGGAGAGGCTCTGACCCCCGTTCTCTGCCCGAGCTCGGATCTCCGCTCCCATCTCCGGCACCGGCGAACGCTCCGGTCACCAGGTAAGCTCTAACC